TCAAGGTCTAGGCCCTGCTGGATTATCTATTTGCTTAAGCACATGGCTGGCATGCATTAAGCCTTCTATCCTGCAGAGAAGCATGCTCTTGTTTACTCCATGGTTGATCCTGGCCATTTCCTTGAAAAGGGCTGCTTTGAATTACAACAGCCGTACTGCAGTTCCCACTACCTTAGTATTCTGCTCAGCTTTTCCACAGTACCATATATTTATTAGTTTCTTAAGAGATTAAGAAACAACATTTGCTGATGTAGCAAATCCATTTTCCTATCTTCAACAAACTTTTATTCTTCAAGTTTCTTTCTTCTTTTCACCTTGATTAGGCTTTGCTTTCGCAAGTGCCAAGTAGTGGTTTTCTGATTTGCTCTGTTTGGTTTTTAGCTAAATTGGTTTTCTGCTATCTGCTTATAAATTGCTAATGTTTTTTAATGATAAAGTCACTGATTTCAATTCCCACGTTTCTTCCACGGTTCCAACGTGAAAATCTTGGGCATAACAAACACCTCTTTGAGCGGGTTAATGAGATGGCAAGGAGAAAAGGGTGCAGCCCATCACAGCTTGCATTAGCCTGGATCCATCATCAAGGGGATGATGTCTGCCCAAATACCTGGAACCACCAAAACTGAAAACCTAAACGAGGATATCAGGGCTTTGTCCATGAAACTAACACCTGAAGAGATGGCTGAAATAGAATCCATTGATTCATCAGATACTGTAAAAGGAGACAGATATGGGGACACTGCCCCAACCTACAAGAACTCTGATTCCCCACCCTTATCTTCATGGAAACCTGCGTGAGAGAATGCGTTTTGTGATATATGTACAATCTTCTAGATGAGTTATTGACTTAGCATGCTACTGCCTTTGAGATCTTTGAAACAGTGCTGAGTTCCTAATGTTCTGCGAATAAGGTCTCTGTCAAAAATACCAAATGTGGGTGTCAATCCACAAACTGAGAAGTTCGTATGTGAAGTTTATCTTGCTGAGATATAGGCAAGTTGAATCTCAAAGAGCAAGTTTTTCAATGTTTGAGGCATCTGAACTTGAATAATTTCTCTGCATCTATTCAACTTGTCTCAAAGCCCTTGTTAAATTTGGCTGCTATCAGGTTTGTTAAGCATTAGACTATTTTCTACTAGATATTTATCTTCATTCTACTTCGATGGTAACGCTTGTTGGCTGTGATAAGTTTTCAGCTATCGTAAGTCGTGTTCTGGTCTATCCAATCCTATCTCCAAGGTTAATTCTTAAATTAGAAGCCAAAGGAAGTCAAGTTTTATGAGATTTCAAATACTAATGAAACATGGCAACATATTAATTCAAAGATCTGTAACATTCGCTACACATGTTTTCACATATACCTCAGAAGTCAGGACTACAAAGAGGATGAACAGATGATCAACCATCCATTAACCCAACACAAAAATTTCATCAAGGAAAATAAATAAACAAAATGGAGATCCTCACCCCTTCAATTCCAGTCAAATAAGTAATGCACTAGTTTTTGTCTAATCTTGCATTCCTGTGCTCTTTGTTCTTTTAAAAGAATTGGTCCAACGGGTGGTCTCCCACTATACCAGATAATTTTAACTTCCAGCGGTTCCCCACAGCAAAATCAACACTGGGGTCCTTTCCTTCCTTGGTATCTGTCCTAACTTTCTCAACTCTCTTAAGAACTCTTTTAACTGCAATGTCAAACGCATCCTCGAGTCTCTCCAATCTGGACCTGGGATCTGCATATATCGTCTTCGGGATCAGCTTTACAACCTGTTTTCTCATAGCTAATACTCGGTCTTTCGAAAACCGTGAAAGTGCCTCCTTGATGCTGACTGTGCAATCTTTTATTTCATTGGCAGGAATGTACACAGAATATTTAGTATAATTCTTTGGAAAGTACCATTTGTACTGTGCATAAGCAGAATAGGGATGGAAGAAAACAGGAATGCACCCTGCCAGGATCGAATCAAAAGTTGAACGCCGACTGTATGAATCCCCTGGAGGCTGTAAGCAGAAAGTAGAGTCCCGAAACACCTTAATTACTTCAACTGGAGAATCGCACTTGTTTCCACCAGGCTGACAATTAAGGAACTTGCATGTCTCTTCTGAGGCTAAACATTGCTTGATAATCTCGCCCCGGATTGAGTCATTCGCACCTGGACGTGGAGCACCAGCAAAAGCGAATAGATATCGCCTTTTTTGACTTCTCATTTTTCTCTGCCAACGAATTATATCACTGTCGCTTGATGGATGGAAGTACGTTGGATATGGTATTGCAAACTCATTGCTCCAGGAGCTTGACTCTATAGATAACATTGTCATGTTCATGGATTCGGGAAAAGACATAAGCCGGCTGCCCCAATTAGATTGAATTTCTGTTTGTCTCCGAAAATCCCAAGCTATCCTACCTGCAACAAAGAAATGGTCTCTACCCCACATCCGTTTCCATTCGGCCTTTTTTCCAAGCCAGTTGACCAAATCATAAGCAGAAGAATCTCTAACAGATGTGTTAAAACCCCAGAGGTAACGACCAACATCTAGGCCAGCGTAGAAGGGTACAAAAATTGCTGAAGCCACCGAAGAATCATCGGTTAAGCACTTGTACTGATTCATTCTGTGATGGAAAATGACTTCTAACAAGAACTGGTTTGTTTCAAACCAATTCCTTTCAGATAAAACCCCTTGTGGTCTTACAACCTTAGGACCAAGCCCCAAATTCATCAGGGATGGACACATATCAAACCATTTGACAAGCATTCGACAATCTTTGAGTACATCAGTATTGAATCTACTTGGAAGATGGTGAATGTATATGTATTTACCCGCACACGGATCCTCTCTTTTCCGATCATCACTAGATTGTTGATCACCAACGTCCTGAATCTTGTTTTCTCTCCTTGCATTAGATAAGGTAACATTATTTTCCAGGGCAGGAAAATCCTGTGTAGCTTCATTAATATAACTGCGGGTGAAATTGGGTGGTGGGGCAATAGTTTCATTAGTTTTGTCCATGGGAACGAGTTGGTTAGTTTTCTGGGTGTTGAGAGCATCAGCAAAGCTGTGGACAAGGAAGGAGACTCCATTCTTGGCACCGGGTAGAGCTGAATAATCCAAGCAGAGCAATACCAAGCAAAAAACGAAGGAAACAAAAATAACAAACCAGAGTTGCTTATAACTCTGCTTGCCGATGATCGGCTTCTCCATTTTCACCCCGCCGTGACAAAATTCTGAAACGAAAAACCACGAGCCACACCAGAAAACAAGATGACTTGGTACAAAGAGAAGACCACAGATGACTTTAAGAGGCCTGGGTCAATGAAAAAATCATACGGAGATTGTTTTTGAAACAAGAAGAAAACTGAAAAAGTAGCAACATAAACTTATTATTGTTAGGTCTAAGGTAAAAAAAAACTAAAGAATATTCAAGGCAAGGCTGCGTCCATTGACGGACACTTCCAAACATGCAAATACCACGTATCCTTTTTGGATTCATTGCATCAAAGCAATAAAAATTACTTAATATGTTTCCTTTTCTGCTGATTCCAGTCTGTCTCATTTATAATGAGTAAGACAGTTATACATATCATTGGTTTATTGTATGTACATAGCAGCTCACAACCTCAGACCAGTGAAAATATCGATATTGATTTAAGAGAGACGGGATATACTCTTCTTTCAAGTGAAGTTACCTGCTTGACCACCACATTTTATGGATCTATATCATCACTTAGGACTTTGCAACTTAATTTTTGGACTGGATATAACTTAGCACGTGGGTAAAAACTTTTACAATTTTGTTAAATACCTTTGCTTTATCTTAAAGAATTCAGGGCAAAAGCAATTGATTTGAGGCAGATGCACGAATATCTAGCATATGGGAGACGGGACAGGAATTTAGGGTTATTTGAAAGAGATACATAGTTAAATTAGTGAACAAATTTCAAGATATAATATTTAAAAAGTTTTTGAATTATTTATAAAAATTTAAATAATTTTTTTTTATATAATTAAGTTTTATATTTTATTTTAAGTCAAATAGATCGATGTTTATCATTAATGATTGACTAATTGATATTAATTAAAACATCATTTGTTATTTTATATTATATGATGTTATTATAATATGTTGAATAATGACGTGACATGTTAATATGTCATGATGATATAATCACGTGATGTTTTTTATTTTTCATATTAACGTTATATTAGTGTCATATCAATTTAATCTAAATATAAAAACAAGAGATGTTTTTGAAATCAATTATTAATTTATTTAATTTAAAATAAAAATATAAAAAATTAATATATTAATATGACATAATGATATAATCATGTAATATTTTTTATTTTTTATATCCATTAGTGCCACATCAATATTAATAGATAAAAACAAGTGATATTTTGAAGTCCACCTTTAATTATAAAGATTTATTTGATACAAAATAAAAATATAAAAATTTGATTCAATATAATAGAAAAATAAAAAAAATATTTAAAATTTTTTAAATAATTTATAAAATTTTTAAAGTATTATGCCTAATTGCAACCAATAAGAGAGAAAGGGTAATATGATGAGTTAAAGCACAATAAAAAGTCTTTTCTTAATAATTATCACCATCTTTATAACTGTAAATCCATATACATCTCAAATTAATAATAATCATAAATTCATAAATATTTTCGTTATAATTATAAAAAAATATTTAATAATTTCTCCATAACTTGATTTTAGAAAATCACTGTATACACCTTTCTTATCAGTCATAGACTTTATAAATAAAAGAAGCACGTGGAGTTACGAATTATTGCATAAATAAACACTAATGAAACAAAGCTTTTTAATAAATGTGAAAATAAAATTATTATCGCATTTTAGTCTGTTGAATATTCCACTTGAAAGAGTGAACCAGGTTTTAGCAGCTGCAGCCAAAAACTGATCTTCACTCTTCTTTTCCTCCTACTTTTCTCACTTACAATGACAGAAGAAGTTGACACTTTTGTTTTTAGTGAATAGAAAGTAGTTTTCATAGAAAGCAATTTTATCGAAATTTGGTGGCCTTAACTGACCCAAAAAAGTACATTTTTCTTGATTCTACTGAAATTACTTCAACACTGAGTCTCTTGAGAATTGGACATGGAAGGTACAGGCTGGTAATATTAATAAAACACTGCTGGACTTTACATAACCTACGATTTTTGCTAATATGTTATCTGTCTCTATAGGTGCCATCCATCAAACAACACCAGTGAGAAAACTGTAGAAGATGCCAACAAACAGGCCAGCCTCATTACACACAATTCTTCAAAGAATCTCCAGCTCCTTGGAAGAAGCAATACGAGAGTGCAAAATCAGCCATAAATATACCAACAAGAGAGATAACCACAGCTGAAGTTGTTGACTCGCCCACACCTTTGGCTCCTCCCATGGTGGTAACTCCCCAAGCACAGCTCACAATAGATATGATCATACCAAAAACCTGTGACTTGATCATTGCACTAATTATATCCCATGATTGCAGAGCCCTTTGAGCTGAATCTAGGATGATATTAATGCTAATCCCATAAACACCATCAGCCAGAAGGGCACTTGATGCCATGCCCATTGTGAAACACATCAGAGTTAAAAATGGTAAAGCTAAAGAGGAAGCAATCACTCTGGGCGTGACCAAATAATCAACAGGGTTCGATCCAAGAACTCTCAGCGTGTCGGTTTGCTCAGAAACCTGCATCGTTCCTAATTCTGCAGCAAACGCACTTCCAATTCGCCCCGCAACCACAACTGATGTAACCACCGGACTTAGCTCCCTTGAGAAGGCTAAGGCCAACACCCCACCAACTGATCGGTTCAAACCCAATCGGGTAAATTCTCTAACAAACTGAATAGTGAAGGCCATACCAACAAATGCAGAGGTCAGAAGGCAAACACCAACTGATTTAGGTCCAACTCTCTCCAGTTGTTGGAGGGTATTCTTCCAGTGAACTTTTCCCTTTAGAGTCCTAATAATAACCTGTCCCGCAAGGACAAGAACAGACAATCCTCTCCACAAGTACCTTGGAGGAGACCATTTGCTAAAGAATGTCTCCGGTTCTGAACAGGGTGCATGGTTTGTATTGTTGTCTTCTTCTAGCACAGGGGCATATTGGTGGCCATCATCTGTGTTGGAAATCACAAACAATCTGGTTTTGTGGATGGGTGCTAGAAATCTAAGAGACTGACCTCTTGCAGTCACACCAAGTCGACTTGAATTCCAACCTCCTAGTTTCATCCACCCATCAGATTTGATAGAGTTCTTTCTACAATATATTTAAAGATATTAAATCTCATAGATAGAGCATCAGCTGTAATTTGAATTTGGAATGATAGTAAATGATGATATTAGAAGAGAGAGAGAGAGAGAGAGACCTGCTAGAAAAGAAAATTATAGGATGAAGTTGAAAAGCTGTTTGCATATTTGGTCCCTCCTACCTGAACTTCTACAATAGGAAACCTCATGTAAGACCTTAAAGTTGGCCATTATACCAATCAAATTTCAATCAGACCAAAGCTCTACACAAATATTTAATTTTGCTTCTGTCAAAAAGCATTTTCACCTGAACATTAGCCAAAACAAAAATGTTGGTCTAGAACCATCATACAGATGAAAATCAGCGATATAAAACCAAAAAAATAAAAAATAAAAAGATTGAAGATACAGAGTCAAACTTACACGAAGCTGGAATGGGTTTTCTTGATATGCTACCGCCAGATAGCAATGAATCCACAAGAACCAATGACAAATAAATTTCTACATTATTCATATATTTAAGATAAAAGCACTTATCTTTGTTAACAAGTTCATTTCCGTTCTTGAATTCAGAAAATCCAATAAGCTAGAATTAAGTGCTTTGAGGGCTTTTTGTTTTGTCTTTTTTAATCTGAATTAAGGAAGAGCACCAGTTTGAGATCGGATTGCAGAAAAAAAAAAAACCCTAAAAAACGACTTTCCAGTTCAAAGAAAGTCTCCAAACTTGGTACAATTGCAGAAATAAGCTAGTTAGTGCAATACCCAAAACCAAAATATCAAGATTTATCTCAAGAACAGTTCAAAATTCCACCAACCTGTCACCCCAAATATCTAAATCTACTGTGCAACTTAATCATAAACCCCAGCATTAAAAACCCAAATACAAATTTGCATATAACAAGCTTAAAGCAACAAGTTTCTCAAGGGCACATCAGATATAACCTTAGAATTCAAGAAAAAAACACTTGTAAGAAGAATATATATATACCTTGGATTGAAGAGGGAAGGAACTTATAGTTGGCAGTGAGGGGAGACGGCTTCTACTATCGTACAGTGTGACTCAAGTGTTTCACTGAATTGTCTATAAATTCTTTCCTTACGGAGAATGAAAATTGAGGTTCAGCAAATGAGAATTATAGCTCTTTTCTTTTTCTTTTTTCTTTTTAATTTTTTACATGCCAGTGCCGTTCACTCTTTTGCAGCTCCAAAGTACCTCGCCTCGTGTTGTTTTGTGCATTCGCGCAGCTAGAACTTGCTTTTTCTTTTTCTTTTTCTTTTTCTTATTAATGGGTGTGATTGTGCATCATAACACGTGAATATAATACTTTTTTTGTTTTTCATTTTTATAAAAATTAAGATAAAAGTTTTGACTTTTATATATTTTATATTAAAATTTATTTTTATGATAAATTCAATATTTTTTAATATAAAAATACAAATATAAAAAATAAATTTATAAAATAAAATAAAAATATTAAGTGTTAAAAAATTGTATTTTAAAATATCTCAAAAAACAAAAAAAAAAACTAAAAACGAAGTAACCAAGTGAATAATTAAAATAATCATAACAATGTTATAAACCCTTACAGAATGCATGGATTTTGTTTATCTGAAAATTGAGAATAACGTGAGTTTTAATCTTTTGAAATTTAGTTTGAATGGATTTATGTTGCCAAACCTAAGGTAAATATATAAATATAATATATTTTATTATTAACTTATATATTTATAATATCAAATAAAGAGATTAATTTGATAATAAAATATTATTTATATTAAACATAAATAACTTTTATTGCCACTCTTGTTTTATGTTTCATTATATCACTTATTATCACTTGTTTCTTCACTTCACTTTCTATGTGTGTTTCACCACATCATTTTCTATGTTTATGTTTCATCACATGGAGAAACATAAAACATATAAAATGACATGACAAAACATATCTACAGAAATATTTTAAAAATAAATTATATGACACACTTGAGCAGTTGATTTATTAGTTAGTGTATTATTTATTGCTTAAAGAATAAGGTTCGAATCTTTTTTCTTCAATTATTAAAAAAATAATAATATAATTCAACGAGTTAATGTAACAGAACATATCGTAAATAGTTAATTTATAAATGATGTTAGAAAGATGACACATAACAAGTGACGTGACAGATAAATTATAAGGACAAAAGATGTCAATACATATGAACAATTAAGACGTACATGGAGCATGTGTGTATGAAACGAGGATGATATCATAGTAGAAGAAAGAAAATCTTGATGCATTAAATCAAAATTATCATATCAAATCACAATATAAATGTACGAAAATGATATCATAGTAAAAGAAAGAAAATCTTGATGCATTAAATCAAAATTATCATATCATATCACATCACAATATAAATGTAAATAAGGTTAATTTTATTTATAATCTAATTCTAATTAACTACCAATATTGTAATATAACTCTAAATAGTATTATATAATAACTTCAACTAGATAATTTTGTAACTATCTTAATAAATTCTTTTGATAAAATCAAATTAAAAAATATATTTTGAGATTAAGATAGACTGCATTTGAGTGATAAAATGATTTTTTTCAGAATGAGATTAAGTATTAAAAATTATAGCTCCATATTGAGGTGGGATTGGAATGCTAAAAAGGTTGGTCAGATTCGGGCCGGGTAATGTCTCATGCTTTTTGTCTTCTGATTATTCACATTAGTATATATTTTATTTCGAAATTAATACTTTTTCAGTTGGTTAAAGACATTAGTTTAATGAGATATGTTACGTATCTCAAGTGAAGTGAAGTGAAGTGATCGTCCTAAATGTAAGCAGAGAAGGAGGATCGTTCTAGATGGGTCGTTGGGGTGTGTTGAGCACTCCACGTGGCGCAAACCCAGCACTTTAAAACACCCTTTCTCTCCAAATCCCAATCATGATTCAGTGAGTAAACTGGAACTGGGGGAGGGAGATAGATACTTTCTCTCTACTTGCAAAAAGATCTCAAAAGTTTCCAAGACGAGCGAGGAAACACCATGGATTCTATTCCTCTACGCTCACTCCACTCTCAAATACTAGTTCGGAAGCAACCCAGATTCCTCCCAGACACCGCTCTTTTCAATTCCAGGATTTCTTTTCCTTTTCCGCCGGGAATCAACCGCCACCGTAAACACTCTCTTCCACTCTTTTTGGCCGTTTCCTCTACTCCCACTAGGTACCTTTTTTTTCTGTCTTTTTTTATTTTTAAACTTCCATTGTCATGAAATCTTTTTTTTTGGTTTAATTTTTCGCTGCAGCAGAACTATCTGAAAAGGAAGGTAAATTAGTTCTATAAAGTGTTCATTCAACTGCTCTTGCTTTGACAAATGTCTGAAAATGATATTATTGGAATGGCCATTGCTGTTGAAGTTTTAGTTTTACTATGATGAATTACGGTGATAAAGTTTAAAATCTCGGTAACCAGGTTTATAAAACTCCCCACGTTTTTTCCCGATGGGAAATGTCTGAAAATGGAATGGTTATTTGAGTTTTAGTATTTATTATGATTTAAAAGCAAACGGCATTGCTTTTTTTTTCTAACTGATTGTATCAAATGCTATTAAGAATGGGAGATGACTAAACTGGGTTTTTGCTTTCGGGAGCAGAGAAGAAGAAAAGAAGAAGATGAAAGCAAAACCAAAGTCTGGACGTGGCAAAGTAGGCCTTGATGTTTGTTTAGATCACCAGGTTGAATTTGGTGAGCATGTAGTAATTTTAGGGTCCACAAAAGAATTGGGAAAGTGGAAGAAGCAGGTGCCTATGAACTGGACTGAGGGTGGATGGGTATGCGACTTGGAACTGAAAGGGGATGAGTTGGTTGAGTATAAATTTGTGATTGTTAGGAAGGACAAGAGTGTAGTATGGGAAGGTGGGGATAACCGTGTCCTGAAACTGCCTCAAGGTGGGAATTTTGGGATGGTATGTCACTGGAATTCAACAGGGGAGACAGTGGAACTATTGCCTTTAAGTTTGGAAGAATATGGAGACAGAGTGGAGGATGATGGGCATAATGAATCTACTGCTGAAGTCTTGGAAGTGGAGACAAGTCCTTTTGTTGGAAATTGGCAGGGGAGGCCTGCCTCCTTCATGCAGTCAAATGAGCATCACAACAGAGAATTGGAGAGGAAATGGGATACAACCGGTCTTGTAGGGTTGGCTTTGAAATTAGTTGAAGGTGATAAAAGTTCAAGGAATTGGTGGAGAAAGGTACAGATTTTGATAATGTTAATTGCAATATTCATATTTATGGAAATTGTTCTAGAGATGTCATAATCAATATATTTTCTGTACCACCCTTGATTTTAGTAATTGAATTTGCAATTAACTTCGCATGTATCATTTGATGATTCGTAGCGTTGTGGGATATATGTGTGGTGTAGCTGTAGCATGATAGTATTAATGCACATATTGACTACCAAGGGCATTTAAGCTTATTCTGCTGAATCCCCTTATCATAAGCCCTGAGTATACAGTTACATGCAATCTATCTAGCAGTTCATATGCTTGCACTTAAATACAACACTGGTTGACGATGTCATGTCTCTAGGCAGGCCAGTGAAGCTGTAAAAATGTGATAAAAATTTGGCAATAAGGAAACCCATAACCATGGGTTATTATTTTCTTTTGTGAACAAATAACACTGACCAGTTTGAAGGTATTTAAATATAATTTCAAAGCTAAAGAAGTAGGAAATTGGTGGGAGAATCCTTCCCTATTTCTATGTAAAGTTTTTTTTTTTTTCATTTGGTGGTAGGATGCATGGAATTTTGGCACATATGGCAGTTGGATAGTTGATAATATAATATGTGTCTTATCCTTCATGGCCTGTCTTTTTAACCAATAAAAAATGCTTATTTATATAAACCATGTCCATTCATTATTTAGATCATTGCTTAGGTTGTAAACTTCTGTCTTTGGTGTTAGTGCCATGATATCTTTGACTGTTGACATTTTTCTGTCTTTGTTTTCCCATTTCTTATGAAAGCTTGAAGTTGTTCGTGAGCTATTAGTTGGAAGTTTGCAAAGTGGGGAGTTATTGGAGGCTCTAATATGCTCTGCTATCTATCTGAAGGTATTTTACATATCCTTTTCTTACGGTTTATTTGGTGATTTATTCTTCCATGCTGCTCTTAGATCTTGTTCTTATGCAGTGGATAAACACAGGGCAAATTCCTTGTTTTGAAGACGGGGGTCATCACCGGCCAAACAGACATGCTGAGATTTCCAGGCATATATTTCGTGAATTAGAACGAATCTCAAGTAGGAAAGATACCTCACCTCAGGTGCTCTATTGCTGTATTGGTAGTTTTCATAGTTGGTAAAATTAAATGTTTGTAGTCAATCCGTATTGCTTTATTCCATGTATCCTACTCTAATTTTTCTCAACAGTATTAGTAATGAAAGACATAGCCTCTTCCCATTACTTAGGGTCAGTTACATGGACTATATTTTGCCATTGTTTTCAATTTAAACTATATCCTGAATAAGATTAGTAAACACACAATCCAGCATAGTTTATGTTTTTTTTTTCTTTTATGTCTCAGAATTGATATCATCATGGCACCATTGCTCCATTTCCTAATTCTCTTGCTTGGTAAATTTGTGTTAAATTATATTTTGTCCATCCTTTAGCATGGTCTAAAGGCTTTTGCTTGTAACCATATTTGAGAATCTAGGAGATACATTTGTGCATTTTGCACAGGATGACAGAAAGTGATGTGTTAGGTGTTATTTAGGATTTCTTTACTTATGTTTATTATATAGTGGATTACCAATAAGAACTTTAGCAAAGTGAGAGAAAGGCACATTCTGGCTGAAAGGAGGATAAAGGTAATGCTTGTCTTTGTCTTAGAATTTGAGAGAATCCAAGAAAATATTGATGATCCAGATACAGGACACCTTGTTCACTTTATTGGTATTTTAGTTTGCTCAGACTTGTCAAAAATGGTCTACTATGTTGATATGACATGATCTGGAGTCTAGTTTTTGTAAGGGGCAGCTTAGATGTGAGAAGAATGAGTAGAAGGACGGTGGGTGACAGGTAAGGAGAGAATGTTGAAGATGAATGAGTGACTTAGTTGTTGGAAAAGGAGAGGGGGAAGGAAGTTGGCTTTCATTGTTAGGTATTCTGCTTGGCATCCTTGTAATCGGTTCAAAACCTTAAATGATGCAATAACTGATCATTGAGCTTAACTTAGTGGGAATGATTGTGTCTTAGTGGGCATGGATC